GGACAATTGCTCTCAAACACACTAAATTTGGTTTAAAAAAAAAAAGGAAAGCAGGTAACTAAACAAAATCACTTGGACATTTATCTTCTAGTCACTTGGAATAAAGTGATGCAACTAGATCACCAGTGCATTTATTTAGTTGTGAAGGAGGGCATCCTGGGTAAGTTGTCCTTTGCTGGAGAGAGTAGGGTGCACTCTTTCCTTTTACCATCTCTATATAGTGAAACTGACAGGCAACAATGAATTGTGTAATCATAATGGCATTCACAGATTAGTCAGAGCACATTATTATAAATTAGCCACACTTCAAAATTTAAACACCTTGAGGTCCAAGACACTACTTAACTTGAAAACATTTCTTAAAAACCTAAGTTACATTTCCTGTTTTAACAGCTGACTTTTAAGTACTTTCAGAAAATATTGCCTTTTTTATATTTCCTGTTCTTAATTGCACTCTTCTCTCAGATATTTTATTACTGGCTTAAATTATGAGCTATGTTTTCAACTGGAAAACAAAACAAGAACTTGTTTGACTCAATTGGATCAGGTTCCTAAGTATTTTCAGTTGTAGATTTGATTATCATACGTGTAAATGATTTCCTATATATTTCATTGTGATTGTATATTAAATGTCATACTTTGAAAATTCTTACATATGTTCCATTTAGAATTTAATAAGTAAGAAGTGGGTATTTATTTAGAAATGTGGAAGAGTATAATTGAAAACAGTTTATTATTTCTTTATTTTTTCAATTGAATTTTGCTTTGATGGAACACAATGACACGTGCCTGATCACAAAATATCTAAGTAAAATAACTCATATTTGGGTAAGTTCAGAGTTGTAAAGGGATCTCACATTTTCCTGCCCTCTGCCCGTAAACAAGTTCACCCTATAAATGGACACTATAGACGTTGAGTCCTATCTTTCTTCCAGAGGTCAGTCTCCCGTTCGTGTTGCTGAAGTCAAGGCATATAACTGAGGCATAGAAAGCATGAAGTCCCTGGGGGTGTAAACAGGCTAATAAACAGGTTAATATAGTTGCCAACTGAGAGGTTAAAGTCTGGAGGCTTAAGTCCACCCAGAAGCTAAAAGCCAACCATTGAAAACCCTGTGGCACACAGTTCTGTTCTGACACACATAGGGTCACCATGAGTTAGGCTTGATGTTACCTTTTCTTTTTAAATAGAAAGTATGGCCACACTATCAAGTGCAATGAAGTTCCTGGTAAAAATTACAGGAAACTTGAATGCCTTTTCAAATCTCAACTGACTTGCGCCTTGTTCCTTCCCTGGGTTGGTTTCCAAGTATAGTCTTGCATTCATCAATGTAAAACAGTAGTGAAAAGATGTAGAAGGTCAGAATAACAACATAAGGAAACTTAACAGAGAGGAATGACTGCATGAAGATTTTAAAGAAAGGAAAATGCTATGTGAAAAACTAACTTTCTAGTAACTCTCTCAGGCCCAGACAAATTCTGTTGTCTTTTAATTTAATTCTTCAAAGAAAGATAACACAGTCTAACACTCTCCCCAAATAGAAGCTTGCCTTGATTAGAATTTAAAATTAAATGTGTTTTTAAAACACAATGATTATGTTACTTGCTTTTCTATTTTTGTAATTGTTAAGATTTAACATTTATTTGTCTCTGGAATAGAATGGGGGCTTCTAGGCAATTTGAGATAGGACAGGGACCTATTGTTTTAGTAATGAAAGCTAGGGGTTTCAGGATCACTTTGTATATTTATCTTATCCATGGGAAATGAGAGATGTACCAGAATTTTTTTTTTTTTTTGGCTAATGTGTTTCAGTAAATAAATGGAGCTTTCTTAAAATAAGTCCCGCTCTATAGCTGTAATTGTGAATATTTACATAGTTATCTTTCTGTGTGTGGCCTATGAGTGTATGTACCTGAAAGTATCCTACCAAATCCTGTGACTTTGAAAATAAAATGTTATTCTCAGGTTTTCCTTCCATTGCATTTCTACTGCCTGTGCCCTAGTCCTGATTTATACACCTATATACAAAAAAAGGGGAGCTCTGGTAGCATTGGGAGCTCTGGTAGCATAGTGGCTAAAGCACTTGACTGCTAACCAGAAGGCTGGCGGTTCAAACCCACCAGCCACTCCTCGGAAGGAAGGTTGGGCAATCTTACTTCCGTAGTGATACTGCCTCAGAAACCCAAGGAGGGGTCGCTATGAGTCGGGGCCGACTGGATGGCACATAACAACAACAACATACAAAAAAAGGTAGAGTTTTAGATTACAAAGACAATGCATGTATGTTGCAAAAAAAGGGAAAGAATATAGAAATATATAGACTATACACGAGAATAATCTCTGATGCTTCACCATCTATGGTCAGCTTCATGGACATGCTACTTGGAAAGTCACGTGTGACCCCATGCTCAGAAAATATGTAGCTAGGTTTGTTATCCTCCCATCACTCTCCTATTCCCTTATAAATACTCCTAACTGTTTGTTACTTCCAGGAATTTTCTGCCTATCTGAGTATGTTTGCAAAAGGCCCTGGTGATCCAGTGGTTAAACATGCATCTGCTAACCGAAAGGTTGGCGATTCGAAACCACCCATCGACTTTACAGGAGAAAGACCTGGTGATTTGCTCCCATAAAGATTATGACCTAGGAGGCCCTATGAGGCAGTTCTACTCTGCCACAGGGGATTGCCAGAGTCAAAATCTACTTCACGGTGCCTAACAACAACAACAACAACAGATACGTTTGAATGTATGCATTAACTAGTACATTGATGGGATTGTTCTCTACGCATGCAATCACTTTGCCCTCTCAGTTGCATGTTGCAATTTCCCCATTAAACAGCCTAGCCTCTCCAGCTTCCCTTTCCTCTTCCCCCAGGCAGTCTCCGAATCGCTGGAGAATGAGCTTTCTAATTCTGGTTGTGCCACTCCTCTGCTAAAACTGCTTTTCTGTTGCCTATACAATAAAACGGAGTTCTGGTTAAGGAACGAGTCTCTGAAAGACCGCTGCCTGTGTGCTGGTGGACCTGAGTCTCTGAGCTTGCACGCCTGAAGGATGCCTCTAGATGAGGGGAGGCACACGTGGGCAGGGGGCAGAGACTAAGAGAAGCTTTCTCAGTCAAACTGGCAGTCACTAATCATTTTCAGACTTACCAAGATTGTATCTCAGTTGCTAACAGGTAGGAAAAAACGATCTTTCCTTTGCTCCTACCCACTATTTGTAGAGTTGCTAAATAATTAGCCTTGGAATTAGCAAACACACACACACACACACACATACACAAAAGTGAAAGTTGTTAGCATTTTACAAAGTTGGTTAACCTAGAGTACAGGGTTAGATCATAACATGCTTATTATGTCACAGATGAGGAAAACAAGCCTGCAAAACACTATGTGTCCCTTCCAAAGTCGTGGGATTTAGTGTTGGAGTTTAAATTAACACCTATTGCCTTCCAGATTAACAGACTATGATACCATTTTAGAATTTTCCTGATCACTCTAAATTCTGAGGTCAGAATGGTATTCTAAAGAGTTTAGAAAATCTGGACTATTATGACAACAGCTATTTTCACTGTGTTCAACACTGCACTTCTAGGATATCAAGGCTGGATTGTCCACATCGGTAGTCAAAAATGTCTGAGCAGTTGCCACTCATATATGCATGATCGTGGGTGATTACTCAATCCCTCTAAGATTTAATTTTCATAAATTTAAAATGGATATAATAATACCTACCCCACAGAGTTGTGAGTAGGAATGAACAAGATTTTAATTAATTTATTTATACAACAAATATGTATGCAGTGACTATTATGTATCAAAAACTATGCTAAACAGTGAGACCATACAGTGAATCAGACACATCCCTGCCCTCAGGAAGCTTACTGTCCGGTGCAACTCCAGACGTGAGGAGGTCAGCAGCACAGGTCCTTGCCCAGAACAACACTGAGAGGAACAGGGGTTTCTAGATGCTTCCTTCCCTTCCCCCCTGTTTTTTTTCTTTTTTAAGTAACGAATACTGCTGCTTTATCTTTGGAGATATAACCATCTTTTCCGTCCTGAATATTAGGGTGTTTGAATTGAAATCACCATGGAGATGTCTATCCTCCTGCCCTACCCCTCACCTCCTATCATTCTTCATAAGCTATTTGCTGTGAGCAAAATCCTGCCTTCAGTCCAGGGCTCTTTTCTTATGTTTTACTAGAGATTCTTTCTTTCTTTTTTTGCAACCAATTTTGAACTCAGTCTTGACCACATATGAAAGCTTATGAGCAGTTTAGAAGTAATTGTCCATCTCATAGAAAAAGAAAATCTGGATAAAGTTTACTTACTTCACGTTAACCAAGCATCCCAGTCTATTGCCCATTGCGGATGTCCGAGAGCTCTGCCGGACTCTACCTAGTCAGAGCAAGCCTAGCAAGAAGACAGTGCATGTCCGAGAATCGGCTTAGAAGCCTCACTAAAGGCGAAGCCAGTCTAGTGAGGTCCATGCGAGACCTGCCCGGGATGTGAAAGAAGATCAGGAAGGTTAGTGTGAAAGCCGTGCCATGCACGTGGTCAGCTCTAGAAGAAGCGAGTCTCGCATGCAGGGGACACTTGGATCCGTGTGCTGAGTCCAGATGCCCATTTTACCAGCAGAGCCTGCTGAAGCTGCAGTTGACAAGCCCAGCTGCTCAGAACTGCCAACTGTCAGTTGGCGTGGCAAGCGCCCACATGTTTGTGCTGAGAGAACAGCATGCAACTGGGTCAGCACAGACCACAGCTTTAATATCCTCCATCTGGCAAAGAGACTTAATTTGGAAATGAGTGAGTATTTTGAGCAAGAATTGTTAAGGCCCTTCTATGGTAACATCTATACGTGATTCAAAAAGCCAAACTACATCCATGTAGTTGTCCTCTAAGGAGTGAAAGAGCAGGAATTGGCCTAGTTTATATAACTGTATGGCTTTTGGCACTGCAGGTGGCATACATCAAAGCCTTCTCTGATTGGTTTCAGAACCTACCTTCCTTCCTCGCAGGCACTGCTGAAGCTGAGGCTTTGTCAGGATACCGTATCGGCAATTGTGGGGTTGCCAAGTTATTTCTCTCCAGTCACAAGTCCTGTTGTCTGAACAACTAAGACAAGGCACAATCCACTGCCCTGGAACAGATGGCAGAATGTTCTTAAGGATCAGCTTCTACTGGTCAAACAAGTGTTTGCAAGTCAATTTAGAATTTAGCTACAGCACACCATTACTGAAATGCCCATTAGAAGACCATTCTTATCTATAAACCCAGTGGAGTAACGCATGACCTCCAGCAAACCAAGGAGAATATCAACACGTAGCTATGTTCTGAAATAACGCAGTTCACACTGCAATCAAGTGAGTTCTGTTCCTAGAAGCCATATACTTATAAAAATATTCTTGAATCATATACTTACAAATAAACTAAGTGACCATGTACTACTCAATTATTACTTATTTTCAAACAGCACATTAGGCACTTCAACAGGGCCATAGATAGATTTGGGAGCCACTGAATATAAGCAATTGGTCCCAAATGATTATTAGCCTAACACTTGTTTAGGTTACAAATTGAAGAGTCGATATAGTCCCTGCTCTCAACAGATTGAAGATCTAAAAAAATGACTTGAATCATCCAATAATTTATTATTTTGAAGACTAGTTTTTATTTCTTTAGTTGATCGGTGAGCTTTTTCACTTAAATCTCTCCCCGTATAAGTGATGAGGGCTTAATTTCCTTATCCCTTAGATGAGGTGTGTGCTGTTCCCATGTTGTTGGGGTGAGGGTTTAATGGAATAATGCATATGAAGGACCTAGCATAGCCATAATATTCTATTCACCTTTGTTATCAGCAGGGCGCAGCTGCAGCACTCTGCTGATAACGCAAGATGTCATGGAGTTCAGTAAACGTTTATACGATAAATGAATATTCTGAAATATATCTAACATCTTTCTAGTGATAAAAACATGTATTAGAAACCTTTCTGCTTTTAGTGTGAGTATCCAACAAGACAGAAAATAACAAATGCTGGTGAGGATGTGGAGAGATTGGGACTCTCAGATACTGCTGGTGGGACTGTAAAATGATACAACCACTGTGGAAATTGGTATAGCGATTCCTTAAAAAGTTGGAAATAGAAGTATCATTTGATCCAGCAATCCCATTCCAAAAAAA